TCATTGTAGAATTATAGATTTCTCAAATATAAGTCAATATTTGGTCAAAGTGCATTAACTTTTTTTTTGTTTTGCTTTTGAGACGGAGTCTCACTCTGTCACTGAGGCTGGAGTGCAGTGGCACAATTTCGGCTCACTGCAACCTCCACCTCCCAGGGTCAAGTCATTCTTGTGTCTCAGCCTCCCGAGTAGCTAGGATTACTGGCGTGCACCACCACACCTGGCTAATTTTTGTATTTTTAGAAAAGATGGGGTTTCGTCATATTGGTCAGGCTGGTCTCGAACTCCTGACCTCAGGTGATGCACCCGCCTCAGACACACATGTTATAAAATTGCTTCTCAAAAGCAGCATACCAATTATCTTCACCCATCGTTCACCCTTTATTTGTCAAGTTCCTCCTCTGTACTGGGATGTTCTAGATGCTGGGGATGCAAGTGGTGACTGGACGAGGTCCTGGCCTCTAAGAATATGTTTCAGTGGTACAGACGACAACTTTCAAATTTATTCTAACATCAGTGATAATTGTTATGGAGAAAATATACCTGGGGTAGAAGATTGGTGATGGTGAGGATGGCAGGAGATATATTTTGTTGGGTAAGAGGTTCCTGAGAACTTGACTAAGGGACATTTGAGGAGAGAACTGAATGGCATGAGGAGTGAGCCATGTGGATCCCTGGGGAGCAGGTGCCTGTGGGAGTCCCAGCAGAAGCTGATGGCAGAGACAGGATGGAGCAGTGACAAGAGACTGGTGCGAGTGGAGATGAGTGAGCTGGGCTGAGGCTGGTGGGATGAGGCCACAATGGCCAGACAGGGCCTGTGATGAGGGGCTGATAGGAAATGGTGAGAGGAAGGGAAGAGGCTGGAGAGTCTCTGGGACGTGGTGTTGAGGATGTGCTCTAATTCCCATTTGAAAAGTTCACTCTGCCTGTTGTGTGGGTGATGGACAGCTGCGTGAGAGGCAGCAGGCAGCCCAGCTGGAAGGCCCCTCTGGTTTACTATCCTACAGAGGATGGCTCTGGCGAGGAGGCAGTAGAGGAGCGTGAAGTGATTGGATTTGGAGTTAATACGTTTTTCAGATGGTCTTAGCAGTTATTTAATAGAGAACCACACATTCATTTACCGAACTTCATTCCACAGTTGATTCCAGATGGCTTACTGCAACAACCAAATAATAAATATACATGTGTTATTTAAAAACCAACAGCTAGGAAAGTATAGACTTAAAATATTAAGGCTGGGGTAAAGCTAGAACACTACTAGGCAAGAAGAAACCTCTGAAACATTTGCCGAAATTGACTTTACTGTTTACCTAGCCATGGATTTGTTGGCTCACAATTTTATTGCATCAGGGAGCCACAGAGGGGGGTGACAGTGCAGGTCACTTGGCCCTTGTTTCCTGTTTCAGGAACATTTTCCTGTTTTACACTTAAAGTCAGAGCAAATTATGTAACTGTAGTTTGTTCAAAAATGAAGACAACACCTAAAAAGTCAGACAGTGAATGTACAAACCCCAGGGGTCTAAGGAGAGTCTGCATTTCTCCCCCAAAATGTCCTCGCCTTGCGCTATTGAATGGAGAGGGCCCTTTCCAGGGGCCCTAAGATGCCGGGGCGATTGGGCTGCAGCCCTAGCTAGAGATGTCCTTTATACCTGCAGTTTCCTTATGCCTGGCAGTCAACTTCAGTGATCTCACCTGAGCTAGAAATTTGTTGTTTTGATATTGGTTCTATGTGAGCCTTTGTGCAGACTTAAAACTGTGACATGGAAATTTTGCTATAATAGTTTTTCTTTGATGGAATTTGACATGCATGGTGGCTCTGGCTTCCCTGTTGGTCCCCGGAGAGAATTTAGTGTCCTGCACTTTTTTTTCAAGATCCTTGTGTGTAAGAGGGATCAGGAGACTTGGAGTCAGGGAACCCTCCTATCTCACCCTCCTCTCTAATGCTTTCCAGTGAGGGAGCCTTGCCTCTCTGCACATCTGATTAATATAATTGTCCCAGCTCCTGAAATAAAAGCACAGGTGCACATAACACTGACTCCTGCGTGCAGTGCCAAGGTGGGGAGGTTTCCTGGATGCCAGGTTTAGCACTTTGACTCCCATTCTCACACACACACACACACACATGCGTACACACACTCCCACACACATGCTAACTCATACACACAGGCACATACAGTCGCACACACATTCGCACACATATTTAGACACATTCACACACACGGGCACACACGCACAGGCACACACTCACACACACACACACACACACACACACAGCCTGAAGGAGCGTTGTGGGACAGGCTGACTTCAGGGGCGGAGTAACAGGAATGTCTCAGGTCCCTCTCAGTGGCCTTTGTCTCTTTTCCCTGGAGGTGGAGGAGTCTGTACTACATGAGGGGAAGTCCTCTGAAGAAGGGGGAGATACTCAGGAGCGGGGTCTAGAGATGGACAGGGATGGGGAAGTGGAGACAAAGTGGAGGGGGCAGGGCAAGAAGAGCGCACGCAAGGAATGGGGAGGGGGAGGACCTTCTAGCGGTCAGAAATATCACACGCAGAATTTGGTTCTCGGTTTTTGTGTTTTATTAAGATGGATTTAGTAAACCAGCCGGAATGCGAGATACGGAGTCTACATTGCAAAGGACAAGTCTTAGTCTCCTCCTAGCTTGAATTCATCAGTAATAGCTGGGAGAAGAGTGCCAGAAGCCTTGTGTGGGGCGCGCAACGCTCATTTGCAGTGACTCCATTCTCTGCAACCGACAGACCTCTCCTTCAGGGACCATGTAGGTCCCCCCTTCCAACTGGAAGGAAAGGAAGGAGAGGTCTGAAGGCTTTGGATCCTTCCTAGCGCGCCTTTTCCTCTGTGCGCCTTTTTCTCTGCCACTTATTCTCAGAATGTCCTTGCCTCCGCTTCGCTACCCCAACTTCACTAAGACAAAGCACATCCTGCGCGCTCGGGTCAGAAATTCTCCTTTGGCCTCTGACTTACTGGTGCCATTTCACTGTGTCCTGTCCTTCCGGCCATTGTCACTGGGTGAAGCCTCAGAGAGCTTGGAGCCCAAGAGAGCTGGATTCTTAGAGCGTCGCTGTCCGCACAAACATTCTTGAGATTTCTTCAGATCTGAAAGTCAGCCTGAGTTTTTAGACTTGCTTCGAAAGGCTTTGGCCCTTGGAAAAAGGAAATCAACACTCCAGGAACAAGATTTTCCTCGACTTTGTCTCAACCCAAAGACACTATAGCAGTGCAGTTTTCAGACGTGCTTTGAAAATAAACGGGACAGCGTGTCCCCACTGGATTTTGCATTTCCCTTTTTATTACAGCCCACCCCTTTTGTAAAATGGTTGCTTATCTCTCTACTGCACTGAAAACAGCTCTATCAAAGACACTTTGAGAAAGATTTAATGACCTGAAAATATGAAGTCCCCTTAAAAGTGAGTTTCTGGAGTTGGGTTTAAATTAACACTATGGTTTTTAAAATCCTGTAACTATTTGGATGTGCGGCTTACCTTTATAACATTTTCAAACAAATATTTTTCTTAACCACCATACAAAGCCAAGTTTATTATTTTTATTTTTAAATTTTCTTTATTTGTTTTTGAGACAAGGTCTCTTTCTGTCACCCAGGCTGGAGTGTAGTGGTCAGATCCTAGCTCACTGCAGCCTCGAACTCCTGGGCTCAAGGTATCCTTCAGCTTCCAGAGCTGATTACATGCCTGAGCCATCGTGCCTGGCTAAAATCCAAGTTTATACTGTAATATAAAATTCCAACATTTCAGAGAAAGTGAAAGTCACAAAGTTATCCCAGTCCCTGGGTTCCCTGTCAAAATTTTGGTGAGTAATCCTCCGGGTTTTCCCTACTTAAAATATATATTGTGTAAGTGGCATTACTGGTGTTTTAATTCCATACATCCTTATCCTTTTAAAAATGGGTAAAAATAGGTTGGGCACAGATCTTCTCACTTAAAAGTTCATCCTCCTCTTTTTAACGACTGCATAGAATTTTATCACATGGCTGTTCTTTAGGGGACTATGGAAATGTTATTAATCTTCATTGTGGTAGTGGATACGTGGGTGTGTAAAACAGCCAAAGAGTAAAACGCAATGAGCTGTACATTTCAAATAGATACATTTATTGCATGCAAAGTATGCCCCAATGACGGTTTAAAAATATTATCCTATTTGAGATTTGTACTTTGATTTTGTAAAACAAAACGAAACCCTTTTTCTTGTACCCAAGAGACACACCCTGGCACATCTGGAGGCAGAAGCTCATGTTCTCTGTTACTTGACCTCGCAGCCTCTGAAATAAGAATAATAAGCTGTATATTTACAGATTCACAGAGGGAGAAAAAATGCTGTGGTTAAAATGTTCATAAATAACAAAACTAGGAAAAGGGCAAAAATAAAAGTTAGAAATAATAAAACTACATCTTTTAAATATTATTCTCACCTTCACCTTTTCCCTCCCCTTTTCTCCCTCTCCCTTTCTTTCTTCAACACTCACCCCATCTTTCCCTCCTTTCTCCATTCTCTGCTCTTGACCCCCGCTGTATTCCAGCCTCACACAACACCAACACACTTCACCGCGTCTGCCTGGGTAAGGTCAGGGAAGGGACGCGAGGCGGCGCTGTCACCGTATTCTGTGAGCCGCAGCGCCCTGGGCACTGCTGACCTTGTATCATTTCAGTGAACGTCGCTGTAGTCTTTGATGGAGGCCACATTCGGGGTGTAAATTAGGATCCTCACTGAAGTGGCGGGACCCTGGGAGGCTTTTTCCTGGCCTCTTAGTTGGGGGTTTTCCTGCGGGCGGTGGAGCCCGTTTCCATCAGAACCGCCCAGAGGCGGGCGCTGCCTTCCTGTGGGGGCGGAGCAGCTGGAAGAGTTTATAGATCCTAGAATCCATGGGCGGCCCGTGGAAGGGGCTGAAGCTCATTTCCCTACTCACCTGGCTCCGAATCCTCCGCGGTGCTGTTTCAAGAGAGTCAGATTCTAGATCGCGCTCCAGCCCGGACTCGGAATTCCTGCCCCGCGGGTCTGCATTTCACAGCGGCAGGTATGAGTGACCCGCAGCTGGAGACCAGAAGCCTGAAGGCAGCTCCGCCCTCCCCAGCCCGCAGCGCCGTCATTCCGTTTCTATATCAGTAAACACGTTTCGTTTTCCGTAGACCAGGGCGGGTGACGGGTGACCCCAGTCTTTGCAGTGAACTCCGGGCCGCAGACTTGAAAACGCACGAGGGCGCCCAGTGTAGCCTCGTCCTGAGTTACACAAGCGACCGTGCTGGGACGTTTCTCTTTCTTTTCAGGACCCAGCAGTGACGCCTAAAGTCTACGAGGAGAAAATCTCCTCTGTGCTGGTAAGTCCAGGGATCTAAGGCGAGTGCTGAGGGAGAAAACGTAGTTGATGGCCTGAGAAGAAGGGCCTAGAGGTTAGGTAGAGGGGGAGGGCTTTGGACAGAAAAGACCTGGGAGGTTTGGCTGGGGAGGGGCAGCCAGTCCTAGACCCTGGGGAGCGACTCACCCAAAGTCCAAGATCATCACGGCCTCCCCTACCCCAGAAAGGGAGGGACAGGCTTGATGTCGCGATCACCTCTAAACGCGTTGGAACAAACTTTGCGTATTATTATTATTATTATTATTATCGTCATTGAAGTATTAAAAGTCTTTTGGGGGCTTAGCTGAATGAGACCCTTTGCTGGAACTGGAACAGGGAGAAAAAGTCCTCCAGACAGGGTAGACACTGTGGAGGGAAGGGCTTGGGACCAGTGTCAGGAGAGCTGGGTCTGTCTCCCTCTCTACCCTCACTACCCTTGTGACCTTTAGCAGTGTAAATAATCCCTCTAAGGTGGGGACAGGACCCCAGTCACTGCTGTGCTCAATAAATTATGATGATTGAAATAAACAGTCAGTGAATGTGGATGGGAAAAGTAAGTAATTGTTAAAACTCTGTGATGTATGACATTTTCATCTACAGAAAAGTGCAGGCTAGGGGTCTTGGGGAATGGTTAGTAATCATAGGTATAGTTCCGCTTAAAAAAATAATGTTCGTAAGACTGACGAAGACGGAAGGGACACAGTTCCTGATCATGGATGGTTCACTGTCTAATGGGGGTTGGTACCAGATGCTAAATGACAGCTGGGCCTGGTTGCACTCGCCTGTAGTCCCAACTACTCAGGAGGCTGAAGTGACAAGATTGCTCCAACTCAGGCATTGGAGGCTAATGTGAGCTGTGATCACGCAGCTGCACTCCAACTGGGTGACGGAGTGAGATCCCCCAGCTCATTATAAAGAAAAAAAAAAAAAAGGCAGGCTGAGTTGGTACCATCAGGGATGTTCAAACCATGGACTAGAATACTGGTTCTAAAACTTGACTACACATTGGAACCATCCAGGGAGCTTTAAAAGATGCTAAGGCTTAGGTCTAACCTAGGCTTACTGATTCCATTGGTTTGGGCTGTGGCCTGGGACAGTGGATATTAAAACCTCTCCAGGTGGTTCTGTGAAGACAGGTTTGAGGACTCCTGGCTAGATGCTCTGAACACAAAGAAATGTGTGTTTGGGAGGAGGCAGTTCTCTCAATTGAAAGAGGCTTTCTGGACAGCGTTATTATTAGTGGGATACAATTCATGTGCCTCATAATTTACCAATTTCAAGTGTACAGTTCAGTGGCTTTTAGCATAATCAGGTGGTTGTGCCACAGTCGCCATTATCTAATTGGGAA